CTCAAATTTGTGATCCTCCTGCCTCAGCCTCCCAGAGTTCTGGGATTACAGGCATGTGCCACCACAGCTGCCCAAACTTGATTTTTAAAAATGTTTTGAGGAGGTGATTAGACAACAAAGGTTTTGCTCTCATAGATGAGATTAGTGCTCTATCCCTTCCATCATGTAAGGATAGTATTCAAGGCTTTATCTTGGAAGCAGAGATCAAACCCTTATCAGGCATGGAATCTGTTGCCATCTTAATCTTACACCTCTGGCTTTCAGAGCTGTGAAAAACAAACTTCTATTATGTATAAATTTCTCAGTCGAAGGAATGTATTATAGGAACAAGTTGGTGGAAATAGGAGGAAGGTCAAAAATTAATGTATAGCAAAGAGTAAATTCTTCATGCAGAACTTGTGGTCTTGAAAAACCTATAAACTCATTGAAATGATACACTAGGAAAAATCTGCTCACCACTCAAGAAAAAAAAAAGTAACTTGAGGTGAATTACAGGAAGTGAGGAGAACTCTACTCTGAGAATTCATAAAGGCATACTTAGCTTCCTGTACATTTGGGTTTTTAATTAAACTATGTGGCAAACCTCATGTGAACAAATGAATACAAACTCATCCAAAATTTTTTATGCACTGACCAGTCAGCAGTGATGACAGACTGTCTCTGCAGGATATATGCCACCAATATTTTGAATGTTTATGCCCCCTCCAAAGTACTCATGTGATGACTTGTATCTACATGTGCTCCCAAAGCCTCATACGCTCATATGTGGGGCTTTTTAGAGGTGGCTGGTTCTAGGGCATGTGAATGTGGATTAAGGATGTAATACAAGGATTGAATATGTGGATAATGAAAGCTCCACCCTGGATGTGGATGACACAACCCAAAAGGTACCCTGCATGGAATGAAAGGGAATGATGGAGCACAGGCTACTGCTCACTGCTTGCTACTTTTGCCTGAAGTGCCACTGACTATTTCTCCTCTGTGATGCCACTCTGCCATGCCACCCTGCCTTGGAACCATCTGACTATGTACTGAAGCCTCTACAAACTGTGAGTCAAAATAAACCTTTCCTCCTCTCACTTGTCAGTGTCAGATATTTTGTCTCAGCAATAGGGAAAGTGACTAAGATACATCAGTTACAGGAACAAATTAAGACAACCCTTCACTAAGATCTTGCAAGATTCTCATCAATAAATTCCTGCTCAGTTTGAACCACTCACCCCAAATTAGAAAACATGAGTGAGCCAAACTACAATGAGCAAACCACAGAATCAGTACACCCAAATTTCAGAAAAGTGAAGTATTTGATAATAAACACAAAACATTGAGGAAATAAAACTGGAAATGAAATAACACTTTAAAAATTCTATCAAAAAAGCCAGCCAGATATGAAAATTCAAACATCTAGAAAAGAAAAGTAAATTTACTGAAAGGCAAAACTCAGTAACTGTTAATATAACAGCTTACACACAGCTGAAGGGAAAAAAAATCGTAATCCAAGAGAACTGAAGAAATTGCCCAGAAAGTACAAAAAGTCAAAGTATGAAAGAAAATGACATAGAAAACAAAATCAGAGTTAAAATATATCTCACTGGCATTTTTGGAAGAAACAGAGAAGCAACATTCAAAGAGAAAATGACCCACACATCAAACACATATTTTCAGGATATCAAAGATAAGGATACTCTTAAGGAGCTACCTAAAAGAAAAAATTACTCATAAAAGAAGACAGTTATACTGACAACAGGCCTCAGCAGCAACAATTTAAGTCAGAAGATAGAAGAGTAATTTTTTTCAAACTATGGGAAGAAATGTCAGTTCCAAATTACATGCCCAGTTAAGGTATTATTCAAAAACAAGGGCAAGCCAGATATGGTAAGATATGCCTGAAACCCCAGCTACTCAGGAAGCTGCAGGAGGAGAATTACAACTTCACTGCTAGCCTCAACAACTTAGAAAGACCCTACCTCAAATTGAAAATAAATAAATAAAAAGGGATAGGTATGTAGTTCAGTAGTAAAGCACCACTGGGTTGGATCTCCAGTAACACACACACTCATACACACACACACACACACACACACACA